CTTCGACTTTGCCTGCTGCGCTTGAATACTTTTCAATAGTTCTTCAATAGTTTGCCCCCAACACTCTCTTCATCTTCAGGCTTCCTTCTATTCATGTTTTTTGTGTGTGTGTTTGTCCCTGTTTTGGGGACAACTCTCTCACTCGAAAAGTGCTCGAAGCAGCGCTCGTATTGGACTTTAATTATATTTCAACGTAGCAATAGAAATGGATAAGAGCAGAGGCTCTGCATGGGGCTGTAAACAAAGAGCAAACAGCACCAAATCAGCTTCCGGATCAGTGAAAATTTGTTGCTGCTTTCAGCTTCATTGACAATTCAAAGACGGCATAATAGAGTCAGCGAATTACGAGGCCGGAGTACGCGGCCCTCAATCAAACAATCAGCGTCAAATGTATGCCAGAAAATTGAATTTTGATTCGGATGTGGGCCTAGCCCATATACCTAATGAAAATCAATTCAGTCGGAAGTACACAGCAAAAAAAAAATAAACACAGCCTCAATCTCTTCCCTCTGCCAAATATATCTACATAATTTTAGGACTAAATTCTGTTTTGTACGCAGCAGGCATAAAATTATATACATCAAATATAAATAACACAAAAAGTTCTGCAGCAAGCTCTTATGAATATCAAATGGATGTTTCGTGCGTATAAATGAGAGAAGTTTTCGGGTTTTGCTTCTCGGTCGCAAATTTCAAACAATCAAAATAAATATTTAAACATAATCGGACCCACAATTAGCCAGAGACCTTAAAAATGCCCCCCGCACCCCCTTCATTGCCTATCTCTTTTGGCCAGTTTGTGGTAAAAATAAATTAGTTCCCGGTGCCCCCGCGCTGCCACGTTTCGCCACTGCTGCAATTGGCCTTCATTTGCGAATGAGCAAATAAGTGAGTTAACTGTAATTTCGGGCTAGTAATCATTAATAATTTACGGCCAATAGGCCCACCAGCCCAGTCCCACACAGCCAACTGCCAGCCCAAGAGGCAGCTGAAGCTCGAGTGGGCGACTGGAGGCTGGAGACTGGAGGCTGCGGCTGTTGCCAACCACTTGACGTTCCGTAAAGCAAATTTTAAATAGCACAAATACTTGAGCTCTTCGTTGTTCGTTCCGAGTTCTGAGTTGTTGGCTCTGCGTTGTTCCTTGCTCGTGTTGTGCCAGTTTTTTGTTTGACCGACAACAATTGACTGTGGCCCACTGGCTGGCGCTCGTTTTAAACCCGTTGAGCCACCTGCCAGAACACAGGGGCAGCCTGTTGGGTTGAGCTTGCAAATGAAAAGTAAATAATTCAACGCAAAAAAGTTTAAGGGTTCTGTATGTTCCCTGTTGATCTTTCAATTTGCGCAAAGAAATCGTCTGAAATCGTGGCAGCAATCAGCAAAAGTGGGCGGGAAAAGTGGCAATAAATCAAGCTTAAATTGGGTGGAAAAGTGAAATTGAATCAAATTAAAATTGTGCGAAAAAAGGAATTAAATGAAGCTCAAATTGAGTGAAAAGTATAATTAAATTCAACCAAAATTTGATGAAAACTATAAATATAATAAACTAATACTGGCCGAAAAGTGGAATTAAATCAAGGTAAAATGGCTAAAAAGTGAAACCAAATTGAACTAAAATTTATACAATACATACAATTTGGTAAAAAGCGACAAATAAGCTAAAATTCGACAAGAAAATAAAATAAAATCAAGCTTAAATTGGCAAAAAAAGTGAAATTAAATCAAGCTAATATCGAGAGAAAATAAATCAGTATAAAAAACGGAAATTAAATCAAGCTAAAATTGTGTGCAGCTTTTCAAGTTTTTTTGAACATAATCTGCAGTCAGTTTTGCTTCAAAATGAATGAGTAAATGCATCAACTGCAACAATCTCTACTGCCTATTTGTTGTTTATTTAGCATACTAATAGCCCGTGTGGTATTGCCTAATATAATCAGCAGACTTGCGGTGCTCCACTTTTGCTGTGACATTGTTTTCCCTGCGTGCCAGTTCATACGTTTTCACAGTATTTTTCTGCCTGTGGCATTACTCACATTCACGTTCATTTTGCAGGCGTACGTGCTAATGCCGGCATATTGATAGAAATCCTGTAAATATCCTGTCAACACCCCCACCAACGAACGAAGGAAAGAAACGAAGGAGCAGACAAGCAGCACCACAGCACCTCGGTGTGTGTCGAACGCTAATAGCGACAGCTGCACGTCGCCAGTGATAACAGGACACAGGAGACAACGTTAAAGTATCCACTTTGAGATTTACTTTTAAAGATTCCCGCACCGACAACTCCAACTTCACTTCACTTCCGGGTGGGCCATTCTGCGGCTTAAGAATATAAAATTATGACAGCTTGTGGCATTCATCTCGGAACTGTAGAGATTCTCAGGTTCGTAGGGTTCCTGCTGCCGAAATTCTCTGTGTTCTATTCTGGTCATAAACTTTTCAGTGCCTTCAATCAAGATGAATTTGTGCCAGTAAGTCCCTCCAGATAATGTTAACATTTGCGGCATAAGGTCAAAGGACATATGCATCGGCACCAGCAATAAAATGCCTTCAAAAATGCCACATTAAATGTTCAAAAAATAAAAAGTAAAGCCCGCTGATTAAAAGAAAATAATACCCCCGAATGCTGTGCTGTGCAGCTGCCGGGCCGGGGTCGCCTTAGTTTTTAATGCAGCAAATTTTGCTTTGCTTTTTAAGCTGATCCTAAGCCTTATCAGCACACTCCAGTAACCACCGAGAACACACCAACTTGGCCCCCGCCTGCTGCTGCACATTTTTGTTTGGCTCTTCCTGGAATTTCGCTTTATTATAAAATATTGAAGATGTACAGGAAGAACAACAAAAAAATAAGCACAAAAAGAGGAAAAGCAGCAACAGCAACAGCAGCCAAGAGTAAAAGGCAAAGGCAAGGACTGACAAGACTTGTCCCGAAATCCCCCCGCAAACCCCCTTCGACTTTGAGTAATGACAGCAGCTGCTCTAATCGAAAACGTGTTTAAGTAGCTACCTGAAGCATTTAATAAAGCGAAAATAAGAACTGGAAAATGTGTGGGCAAAAAGGAGCCAGGAAAGCTGTAGGCGTGGTCATAATTGCGCCATTTTGAAGTTAGTTACGCAAGACAATGGCCAGCAAAAAGAGAAAAGAGCGGATGCGGATGCGGATACGGATACGGTATACGGATGCGGCGGCTTCATTTTGTTGTTTTGTTGTCTGTCACTTTTGGCCATCAGCCGGCGTTCCTTTAAGTTCTTGGTACGTGCGGCTGCTTTGCGGTTTGCCACTGCCGTATAGTTGGAGCTGCCTCTATGTTTGTGTGTGTGATAAAGATAATAAACATTCTTATCCTTGCCAGTGTAGGAGCCTACACACACCGGGCTTAGTGTCTAACAAATGTGCGCCGTGTGACAACGCCAGCGACATGAGAACGAGCAAGGTGCCGGCTCCACTCTACGCTCTCTCTCTCTCTCTCTTGCACTCTCCCATTCTCTCTGTGTGTAAGCGGAATGAACGGTAATCCGTCGTGTTTTGAATAACAAAATGTTCCGCACGAGATTGTTGCACACTGGAATTTCGTTTGCCCCTCCTACCCCCCAGCTAACAAACCGCAAGCAATGTCAAGTGGCACAAGAGTCTGGAAACAAAAGACACAACAACAACCACAGAAATTTCGTGTGTCCTGTGTGCCACGCCCAACACTACCAACACACATGAAGAGCTACCCAGAGCCTCAAAGGATAACGGATAGCCGTCGCCCAAGTCGCGCACGCACATTTCACACAAATCCTCGTCGAGTTTTGTCAATAAAAGTGGAAGAGCCAGGCCAGTGCGTGACAATCGCCACCTGGCAGCAGGCAGTCAGGCAGGGGGGCTCAAAATATATGCATGATCAAAATATAATTTCAAATACATCAAAGAAAAATCTTCGGCTATTTTTTGTACTTTCTTGTGTCTGAAATTAGTATTTAAAATTCCATTTTCCTCCACCGTATGAGTGTGTGTGTGAAACCATTTCGACCACTGACCATTGACCATTTTTCCTTTTCATCCCGTTTATTATTCCACACTTTTTTTTTTTTAATGTTTATTTTAGTTTACTTTTGTGGTGTTTTATTTTGTATTTCTTTTACTTTTTTACAGCTCTGCTTTGTGGTTTTCAATTTCATACTCCATTCGTTTTCATCCGGCACGCTTCTGCTCTCTCTCTCTCTCTTGTTTGTTTCCCCTTTCTGTCACTGTCTGCACGTCTCCCCGGTCTGGCCCCTGCTCTACTCGCTGCCTGTATTAATGGCATTTATTATTTTCTCGTTACACGTTGACTTTTGTGCCACAATTTCTCAAAGAAGCTCGCCTCGGACCACGAACGCCTTCGCCTTGGCGGGGCAGCAATAAACGATAACAACAGACAAGGATAAAGTGCAAACGGTGTCATCCGAGGTGCTACACACAGATGGACTGGGTAGCACTCTCCACTTCAGTGTCTCCTGTAACCGGTTGGCAGTTTTTCTTAATTTCTAGAGCAGCTGCTGTGGCGACATCAGCAGCAGCAGCAGCAGCAGCAGCAGCAGCAGCAGCGATAACATCCAGACAGTCGGCAAATGGGAATGCGAGTTTTGTTTGGCTTTTAAATTTAAATTTATAACACCCGAGCAGTGGCTGGAGGCAGGCTGAGGCAGGAGCTTGGGAAATGGGTCGCGCTTAGTTAATTGGACTGGCTGATGAATTGTTGAGCCGTTGGCAAATTAACCCTCATCAGTTTTTGGAGGATGGCGCTAACTCTCACCGCCAGCACAGCTTTCCGATGCCCGCTTTCCGCTTTCCGCTGACAGTTCTCAGCCTCTCACCTTTCACACCATTCTCCAGCACACATGAACACGCACGTAAAAGGTCGCTGAGCACATAAATAACCTTTACGCAAAATACTCAAAAAATAAATGCAAAATTTCACAGCCTGTGAGTTTCCTTTCAATATCAAGAAGTGTGTTCAGCCATAATGATTATCAAAATGGCATTTGTGGCACTGTTGAGCATTTTGTGCACATTTTTTGGTAAGTTTCAACTGCAATTAAAACCTTAATAAATATTATTTGCAACTTCCAGCTGTAGTCGCTGCCAAAGTGGAAATCTCCAAGTGCGGCGGCTGTCACCAAGTTAAGAGCGAATGTCCGAAAGTTTCCGGGAGCGGCATCTTCTGTGCCAGTCTATCAGATCGTAACAATATCCAAGCCTACTCACATCCAAATGAAACCGCCAATAATGGCACACTGGCGGCATGCGTGCCCAGTTATTATGAGGTCACAGGTAAGCCTTAGGGTTACAGTTCGAACTGTGTATTGGTAGCTTGATTTTTGTTCACTTGCAGCTGACATAACGGACTGGTGTTGCTTTTGGAATCCAACAATTGGCTGTCAACAGCTGGCGGGCAGCTACTATCAACAGCATTCCGACTGGGATGAAACCTGTGAGCTCTGCCTGCACTCCTGTGAATGCGATGCACAAAGCACAGCAGCCAGGAGCCCCCTTACCAGTGTACTCTTCCTGCTCTGCCTCACTATGTTAGGCATTCATTGGGCGCTATAAATGTGCATTTTATTTAAGAAAATATTATACACTTTTGTGCTTCCCCCAGTGGCTTGGGTATTGCCTGTGGAAATCTTACTTTACATATCACAGGAAATTCAATAAAGCTGCCTGCCTGCATGAGGGGCAAAACCAAAACAAACTGGCCATTGGCCCAAGCCAAGGCACATACAAATCAAGTCAACAATGGCCAACACAGGACACGGCACACAGACTACAGGCGAGAGGCGGCTGTGATATTGTTTGGAGAGTGTTTTGGTTGGGGGGGATTTCCTTTATGTACAAAAAGGAATTGCTGCATCGCTGCTGGGTCAGTGCTTCTTGCCTTATTGAAATTGCCGCCTCGATGTGATCCCAAAATAGTGATCAACTTTTGGACAGTGTCTTGCCGCTGCCCCTCTGCTTTCCTCTGCCAAAAAAATGGAGCACGGCTATGTCCTACTGTTTGTTGGCCCCGCTCCAGTCCTTCTGCCCGTCTTTTGTCTGCAAGCTCATTGGCCCATTTCCCACTGCCCACTTGCCCACTTTAATGTTTGCCGAGCACTGGCACTGCCTGCAAACAGCCAAAATGCAAATGAGTGGCGCTGGGTTTGCTCTGGTTCTGGTCTCTGGACTCTCTTGTCGCTGCTCTCTGGCTGCTGTCCAACGTAGAGCAGGGAACAAAGCAAAAATATAAACTTTAAACGAAGCCGAGCACAGACCCAGCAAAAGCTTCGTTCGTTATATATTTTATTTACTAAGTGCAAATGTTGCTTGCAGTCATTGAAATTGAAACAAATACGAGTATATACACACACGCACATGCTCGTAAAACCACAAGAAAAAACAGCAAAAAAAAAAAAAAAAAAAAAAAAAAAAAAAAAAAAAAAAAAAAACGGAACGCCTAAGTCATTTGTAGCCCTTTTGTGAGTGGGGCAACAAACACGCTAACTTGCCAGCCTCATCATGCCACCATTAATGTGCATGTGTGTGTGTGTGTGTGTGTGGGTGTGTGTTTGTGTGTAAAAGTTATAGTAAAAGCAAGACGCACGTATTTTAATATGTGCCTCCAAAGCAGAAGAAACATCGCACGTACGTGACTTCATTTGCTTTGCGCTCGCTCTCTCTGTCCCATGGCCTGCGGTGAGTTCTGTGCTGTCCCGTGCCCCAACAAGCAGTGCAAGCAGTTGCCAGAGTTGCCACTAGTAACTGGTAGACAGGGTTGCCAACAGTAGCTGAACAACAGGGTTGCCAAGCAACAACCAATCGATCTTGGAATGAATTGTTTCAGCGCATTTTGTCACATGTCAATGGATTTCGATGTTTAATAGTTTAAAATTGTATTATTAAATATTTAAAGAGTGTTTTATCGAACAGAAGGGTTGATCATTGATTAAAGTATTTTATTTTATAGTTTAAAAAAATAAGTTCGATCCTTTCGGTCATCCTTTGAATGATCAAATGTCGTTTTTGTCAGTCTCTAAATGGGAATTTGTTGACTTTCTTAGGCCCCATCCATAGTTTGTCTTCAAAAAAATAGATTTAGTTATAGTTCCCTTAGCCCTTTGTGTTATAATCTGATTTGTTTTGCTACAGTTTTTTCCCTAGGCTGAGTGGCGACGACAAATCAATGGATGTCTGAGCCTGAACCTGTGCCTGTGCCTGTGCGCTCGTGCGTGCGACACATGTTTTAATTAATAAATGCCATTGTCAAATCACCTGACATTAAGATGGGATGCTGCGCAGACTTGAAATATATGCGCCACATAAGTTATTTTGTTTCGTTTCGTTTCGCTTCGCTTTGGGGCTGTGGAATGGTAATGTTACCGGACCATACAAAATTAGCGTCATTATTTGCCCGAAGCAGTTGTTGTGCGACTTCATCGCAGCCTGCCCCTCTGCCGCCCTCTTTATCTGGCTCCATTGACAGCTATCTCTTTCTTTATATATTTGTCTAATAACAACAACAATCATGCCTAATGCTGATGATGATGGGCACGCACTGAAAGCAAATCAAACGTAGAGAAAAATGCTGAACGCCAAATTGGTCGAATAGAGCTGAAGGAGCTCGCTGCCTGCCAGTACGTGTAGATGGTGTCTACCCCCCGATCCAACCCCCCTTGGATTATGTGTGTGTGTGTGTGTGTGTGTATCGCACGTATCAAATAAACGGCCTCTGCCCTGGCGGCTAAGCAGCTGAAAAGTAGGCAACACTGCGACGACTCTCCGACAACTGCATAGCCATCTTTTATGGTCCGATTTCAGCACCGATCCCTGGCCGTAAGTATCTTTTTATTTGCACAGCATTTACATGATGTGGCTGGCGGATTTTATTTATTTATTTTGGTGGTTTTTCCTTTTTTTTTTCTTCTGTGGGGCGTTCGGTTTGTTGCGGCATTCAAAGTCGTCTGAACTGAACTGAACTGGGGAGCCGCTGAGCTCATTAGGGTCATATAAATCAAGCGATGTATTTATTTTTATTTATGAACCGCAGCTGTGACGCCTCACACACACAAACACACACAGGGGTAGAGCAGGGGCAGGGGTAGAGGCAGAGTTGTTGGCCAATTTAGTGGCCGCAAACAAATTTGACAGAAAGGCGGGCAACTCCGACCGAATCTATTCGGTTTGGCAACTATTTGAGTGTAATATTTCTACTTTAAGTATTATCCGATGGATAGAGTATGGCTGCTTCGGCTTTGCCGCAGCTGCCAAACACACAATCGCTCTTGTTTCTTATACACATTATTATTACTGGCCGAACCGCATAATGAGTGTCCTTAGCTTGCGGCCATAAAATACAAACCCCAAACGACGACTTGAACTCTCTTCCTCTCGCTCTCAAAATATTCATATGAATATATGTGGCCACACAATCGATTATTTAAAATAATAAGCGTGCAAAAAATGAATAAAATGGAACAATCAGGAGTAGAGAATATTTGGGAGCTGCCAAACAGTTGATTGAATATTGGCGCGTTGTAATCATTCACATGTAAGGCATTCCAGTTGAGGTAAAAACAAATAACTCAAAAAATATTTAAATGATGTGGCACATGTGTATGGGAGAGGCGAGGCATAGGGCCACGTGTTTTAAACATAATTTTATGGATTTATTTCCTACAATTTGCATTTGCGTCTCATTAATTTTACGTGCACCCCAATCCCGGGCAGAAAGCAGCTTGCCACCAAAGGCGGTTTTATGATCAGAAACGAATAGGGGCAGGGTGTAGGGCATACACTGAGCGAAGGCGAGAAGGGAACTGAAGCTGGTGCACAAACGTGAAGAATAAACCCAAATAAGCAACAATAAATTCACGAATCAAGCGGCTGCAGGTTTATGCATTTTGTAAGAATTTATTTATGTTATTGTTTATATTTATTTATGACAGATTTAAATATTTTAAATTCTTTTAATTTAAATTTTACTCCGATTTTACTGAATTTATTTTATTTAAAATTAATTTTCCGCTTTGCTCAAGCTTTAATTCATTTATTATGGTTTTTTTAATCGTTTTTCTCCGTAACTCTATTAAAAATATATTTAATATGTAGCCTCTCTGCTCTCTTGCTTAATGGCATTTAACTTTATTAAATATTCGTACGAGTCATTTGTTGCGAATGAAGGTCAAAAGCCATTGAAAAGTGGCACGCAATTTCTGTGGCAAAAAAAAAACAGATAAAAACTGAGCTTTGTCTCTCTATTGGAACCCCTTCTGAGCATTTGACTGACTGACCTCCTGGCCACCTGCAAGACAAAAAGTTTGATTTATGCGTTGGCCGAGAGACGAGCGGCAGTAACTGCCATGTGTCATGTTTTGGGCATGTCTCTCGGTGTGTCGCTTTTTTCTGTTGCCTGGATTACAGTCACACACAAAAGCGTACGCACAGCGGCAGCCGAAAAGCTGCAGCAACTGTAAATGTCGGACCACGCATGAGACAGTTAACCAACCTCAAAGGGGCAGATCTCTCTCTCTCTCTCTCTCCCTGCCCACCCGCTGACAGTTGTTCAAAGTTATGCTGCGGAGAGCTCTCCCTCTCTCTCTCTCTCTCTCTCTCTGGCGAGATGACATTCACCAGATATAAAGCTTACAGATACGCAAGCACACACTGAATATGGCGACATTCTGGTGGTTTTTTTTTTTTGGCAAAAAGTTTTGCAGCCCCGCTTCACGTTATGGTTTATTTTTTTCCATTTTTTTGGGGGAGCGACAGCAAAAAGGGACACAAGTAATTGAATTTCAATCGCAAAACTCACGCACACACATGCCAGATTTGTGTGTGCGTGTGTGTGTGTGTGTGTGTGGAGTACACACAAAGTGTAACGACAAACAACTCGTAATGCGGAATTTTCATATTAAATCCGCTTTTCAGTAAACCCCTCAAAAATACTAACACTCGGCCGAGTGTACGAGTGTGTGTGTGTGTGCTGTGTGTGTGTGTACTTTGCGCATCTTTTCGAGTGAGTTGAAAATAATGACAATTTAATTCAGGGTCACTAATTTTTCTGCCACATCGCACAAGAAGACCGCATCAGCAGCAGCAACCCCTCCAAGTCAAAGGGCAGGCAACATTGCTCATACGATCCGTTGGCATGAATTTCAGTTTGCTGTGCCATGTTCCTGGTATTCCTCGCTGACTTCTTAAGCTGTTTAATCTAATGTAGCGCAACGCTGACACTCCGGGCCAGCGCACTGAAAGCCCAACAGCAGTCAGGCATCCAGGCAGGCACTTTTAAGCACTTTGAAACTCATTTCCTACACTCAACCACAGGGACATGCATACTTTCGCACACACACATGAGGGTGTGCTGTCGTCAATAGCAACTTGAGTTATTTGGGCCTAAGCCTTTTGCTTGTTGGCCGCTGCTGCTTCCGGTTAGACCTAAGACCTGGCCTGGCCACTCTTAACTTGCACTTTAAATAGCAAAAAATAGACAAACGAGCGATGGTCCTTGGATACTCTGCCTCGCCTTAGGGCAGTCACTGAAGCGCAGCGCTGGCTGTCTAACAAACAGCTAAATCCAGCCCGAGCAT